CGCCTCTCAAGTAGCTGGGACCACAGGTGCCCGCCACAATGCCTGGCTATTTTTTGGTTGCAGCCGTCATTGTTATTTGGTGGGCCCGGGCTGGATTTGAACCCGCCACCTTAGGTGTATGTGGCTGGCGCCTTAGCTGCTTGAGCCACAGGTGCCAAGCCAAACAGCAAGTTTTTTAAAAAATTGTGTCATGAACTGTAAATTTCTAAAATATATCAGTCTTTATTCTCATAGGGATGATCAGCCTCAATTCCACCAGTGGCAGCTGGGTGGAATTTCCACTGCTGCATGAAAGGCACTACCATATCTTAACTGCTTCTAGTGAGAAGACAGGATCACATAGAGGAACTAAAATATCAATTATGGGCCAGGCGTGGTGGTTCACACCTATAATCTTAGCACTCTGAGAGGCTGAGATAGGTGGATCTCTTGAGCTCCAGAGTTCCAGACCAGCCGGAGCAAGAGTTGGACCCCTTTTAAAAAAAAAATATCCAGGCATTTTAGTAGGCACCTACAGTTCCCCACTACTTGGGGAAGTGGCTAAGGCAAGAGGGTCGCTTGAGCCCAGGAGTTTGAAGTTGCTGTGAGCTGTGATGCCACTGCACTCTACCCAAGGTGACAGAATGAGACTCTGTCTCAAGAAAAAAAAAAGCTTATAAACAATGGCCCTTCCCAGCATGCAAAGAAGGTAGCAGTTCAAAGCAGAATCTTCACTAAGAGTTGATAGAATCGGGGTGGCACCTGTGGCTCAAAGGAGTAGGGTGCCAACCCCATATGCTGGAGGTGGCGGGTTCAAACCCAGCCCTGGCCAAAAACTGCAAAAAAAAGAGTTGATAGAATCCAATTTCAGAGCCTGAAGATTCAGGCCCAAATTAAGCCTCCAAAACTCAATAGTAGGGCAACATCAATGATTTGATGATAAAAATGTTGATGTGGAGGGCGGCACCTGTGGCTCAAAGGAGTAGGGCCCCGCCCCATATGCTGGAGGTGGCGGGTTCAAACTCAACCCTGGCCAAAAACTGCCAAAAAAAAAAAAAAAAGTTGATGTGGAGGTGAGGAATGAAGCTTAGAGAAAAGCCAACATAGCATAATTTGTCACAAACAGCAACACAATGTGGAAAATTTTATTGTAATTTTTCCTACAATGCCAATGTATTTTTCCTACAACGTATGCCAAAAAATGGCATACACGGGAATGTAAAATGGTGCGGCTGCTTTGGAAAACATGAGGGCAGCTTCTCAAACTTTAAATAAAGAGCTACCACATGACCTGGCAAGTCTACTCCTTGGTATACAGCCAGAAGAATTAAAATAGGAATTCAAACAAATACTTGCACGTCAATATTCACAGCAACATTATAGCTGAAAAGTAGAGATAACCCAAATCCATCAGCTGATGAAGGGATACACAAAAGATTGTACATCTACAACACGGCACATGGTTTAGCAACAATAGAAATGAAAGGAATGAAACGCCGAGACGTGCCACAACCCGAACAAACCTTGAGGACGCTGGGCTAGATAAGAGAGGTCAGACGCAGAAGACCACATGTCCTATGGTTCCATTCATACAAAATGTCTACAATAGATAAATCCACAAGGATAAAGACTTGAATGGTGACTTCCAGGGGATGGGTGAAAGGAAAGTGTGGAGAGACTGCTCATGGGCATGGAGTTTCTTTGGGGGGTGATAAAACATTCTGGAATTCGATGGTGGCAATGGTTGCACTACTTTGGGAATAATATTGAATACCACTAAACCATACACCTTAAAATCCTGGATTTTATGGCATGCAATTCTTATCTTAACAAGATGTTAATTAAAAGAAAAAAAAAGATGTGGTGGCTCATGCCTGTAATTCTGGCACTCTGGGAGACTGAGGCGGGTGGATTGCTTGAGCTCGGCAGTTTAAGAGCAGCCCGAGCAAGAGCGAGGCACCATCTCTAAAAAAGCTGGACATTGTGACTGGTGCCTGCAGTCTCAGCTACTTGGGAGGCTGTGGTAAGAGAATCACTTGAGCCCAAGAGTTTGAGGTTGCTGTGAGCTGTAAGACCATGGCACTCTACCCAGGGTGACCAGGTGAGACTGTCCAAAGGTATTTATTACTTCTATATAAAATTAATTTAAAAAGTAAAAAAAAAAAGACCACAATAGAATATCTGAACAAAGAAGCTGCAGTCATATAGTACAGATGAAGCCTCCCTAAATAAACTAGTTTAAAACAATAAGGGTCTAAATGTTCAGGATATGACCTTCAATTAGCTGCCTGAGCTACAGGAGGCTTGGTGTCTGTAGCTCAAACAGCTAAGGCACCAGCCACATACACTAGAGATGGCAGGTTTATATCCAGCCTGGGCCCGCCAAATGACAATGACAACTACAACCAAAAAATAGCCAGGCATTGTGGCAGGCGCCTGTAGTCCTCGCTACTTGGGAGGCTGAGGCAAGAGAATAGCTTAAGCCCAAGAGTTGGAGGTTGCTGTGAGCTGTGATGCCATAACACTCTACCCAGGGCGACAGCTTGTGACTCTGTCTCAAATAAATAAATAAATAAATAAATATTATATAGGTAATTCTTATATATTAGGAAATTTAGAAGACAAACAGAAATAGAAAATACAAATTGTCCGTGGGCACACACTCCAAAAGCCAGTCAACAGAAACATTCTAGCATAAACTTTCTAGAAACAGATGTTAAATTGCTCTCACCATTCCAATAGGCGAAATTGGTCCCACCTGTAAACATGTACCTACAAGGAAACAAGAGAACACGTAGTACTTTACTGTGAGCCCACAGTTACTGAAGGCTCTCTCCCCTCAGGCAGTGAACACTTACAAGTTCACACTCGCCCCACGGGCAAGTATATCAAAAAGGGAGAAAGCCACGTCTTCAGTCTTCACTGTCGAGTGAGGTTGACCCCAGTGGTCTAACCAGCCAGTATAGAATTCAGAATTGATCTAAAAAGAAGAAAAGGAAAAGATGTGGAGCTCAGAATACATTTACAACCCTCCAAACCTAGAGCTTCCCTGTAATACCCTCCACCAAGGAAGGTGTCAAAGGGCTTGAGCACTTCCACTAACAGCCAAGCCCACGCTCAGTCCTCAGGCTCCGACCCAGAGTAGGATCTCTTCTTACACAATACAAGTATTCCTGAAAAGCTGTACCTTTGCCAAAATTTTGTTAACTGATCTCCTGTTTAAATATGTAGGTAAGTCTTATTGGGTGAAGGACTAGAAAGCAAACAATGGTTATAAAATGAGCTCCAGGCTGGACACGCGGTGGCTCACGTCTGTAATCCTAACTCTCTGGGAGGCCGAGGCAGGTGGATTGCCTGAGTTCACAGGTTCAAGACCAGCCTGAGGGCTTGGTGCCTGTGGCTCAAGAGGCTAAGGTGCCAGCCACAGACACCTGAGCTTGTGGGTTTGAATCCAGCCCAGACCCACCAAACAACAATGATGGCTGCAACCAAAAAATAGCCAGGCGTTGTGGCCAGGGTGCCTGTAGTCCCAGCTACTCGGGAGGCTGAGGTAAGAGAATCACTTAAGCCCAGGAGTCGGAGGTTGCTGTGAGCTGTGTGAGGCCATGGCACCCTACCGAGGGCAATAAAGTGAGACTCTTTCTCTACAAAAAAAAGAAAAATAGCCGGGCTTTGTGGTGCATGCCTGTAGCCCCAGCTACTTGGGAGGCTGAGGCAAGAGAGTCTCTTAAGCCCAAGAGTTTGAGGTTGCTGTGAGCTATGACACCATAGCACTCTAACAAAGGCAACAAAGTGATACTCTGTCTCAAGAAAAAAAAAAAAAGAAAGAAAAAAAATGATGAGCTCCAAATTCACCCTTTGTGTAAATCTAGATTTTCAGGCTGACATATGAGGGAGACTATCCAAGAATTCTGCAAGGCAGGTCCTAAACACTTCCTGTTTCTCTTGGGCACTAACCCTGCCAAACTCTTGGTCTAGAAAAAGAAAAAGAAATCTGGACCTTCTGTGGGGCCTTCTCCTTTCAGGTTCCAGGAAATAGCTCCACCCAAAGACTGTGAATGCAGGCTCTACACTGCTCACTAAGCAGAGATCAGACTCAGAAAAGGTTGTTTGGTAAATAAGGCTTGTACATAGGAGACTTGCTACAAAGGTACAAGATGCAACCCCTTACACTGGCCTGAGTAACAACTTCAGGTGAGGAAGAGAAGAACAGAGTGTGACAGGCTGATAGATTTTTTATGCTTGCCTGGACTTTGCCACCATCTACACAGCAAGGCATCAGGCTCTATAACTCAAAGTGTGGTCAGGAAATCAACATCCTGAATGCTACCTGGCTGCTTATTAGAAATTCAAAGTTTCAGGCCCCAGTGAATCTCCAGGAGATCAAATTTTGCTGTGTTTACAAATCACTTAAGGATTAACAATATCCCCAAGTGTTTCATAAACATTTATTTATTTATTTTATTACTATTATCTTTCTTTTGTAGAGGCAGAGTCTTTCTTTATAGCCCTTGGTAGAGTGCTGTGGCATCACACAGCTCTCAGCAACCTCCAACTCCTGGGCTTAGGCGATTCTCTCATCTCAGCCTCCCAAGTAGCTGGGACTACAGGTGCTGTCACAATGCCTGGCTATTTTTTGTTGCAGTTGTCATTGCTGTTTAGCTGGCCCAGGCTGGGTTCGAACCCGCCAGCCCTGGTGTATGTGGCTGGAGCCGTAATCACTGTGCTATGGGCACTGAGCCTTCATAAACACTTTAAAGGTAGAGCAGCTCTGTCACAAAGAGTTGTCAAAAAACACAGACCTGAACTCAGAACTTGGCCCAGCCACCCACTAGCTGGTGTCTTTGGCAAGTGACATATGAGCCTCACTAAAAATGGAGATAATAAGACAACTTCTGAGATTTGCTCTTGAAACCAGACAGCACCAGAATGCAGGAGCACAGAGCCTGGTGTGTGGCAGGCCATTAATGTTGGTCCTCTGTCTATTCTGCTCCAGTGTGGGGCCTTGGTTTCAATAGGAGCATTATTTCTGCTGTCACCCATGTATCCAGAACAGCTATGTCCACACAATGCCATCTGCCTCTGAGCCCAGAGTCAGAAAAATCAAAAATCTACTCACACCCCTCCTACGGCAAGTAACCTCTCTCCACCAATAGGTGCAATGAAGTGCGTACTAGCCACCAGCACCCTCCATTCTTACCAAGGGTCCTTTGGGCTCAGACTTCCTCTGGAGTTTGAAAGCAGCTGTGATGTTGACACCTGAAAATTATAAGAGGGAGAAGAAAGGTTAATCATAGGAATGACAAGAAGTTAAGTAGCAAGAGCCTTCTCTGGGACTTGAGCCTAAGGCTCTGCCATGGTCTGAAGTTTGGTGTCCCCCTAAAATTCATATGTTGGAACCTAATACCTAATATGACAGTATTAAGAAGCAAGGCCTTGGGGAAGTGATTAAGACATGAGGGCTCTACCCTTGTGAATGGGATTAGTGTAAGGTGACCAGACGTCCCGCTTTTGGCGGGACAGTCCCAATTTTTAACAATTTGTCTGGTGTCCCATGGAGTTTTAAAAAAGTCCTGATTTTTGAAAAGAATGCACGACAAGCTAGGGAACAGCAGGAGAATGGGAAGGGAATATATGGTTTTCTTCGGCTTCTGAAAAGGTTAATGTGACTCTATTTGGGAATGAAGAGGTTAACGTAACTTCATTTGGAAATGAAAAGGCTAATGTAAACTCCTACTCCCCTCCTGGGCAAGGTATCAGAAGGAGACTGGCTCCTTCCCTTGCTTCTAGGCAAGGACGATTAGCTCAGAAGGAGCCAAACTGTCTGGAACAAACAAGTAGTGCCCCCCGCCCCCAGAGTAAGGTGACCAGACATCCCACTTTTGGCGGGACAGTCCCAATTTTTAATAATTTGTCCTGTGTACTGCGGCATTTTAAAAAGCCCCAATTTTTGGAAAGAATGCAAGACAAGCTAGGGAATGACAGGAGAACAGAAAGGGAATATATGGTTTTCGGCTGCCATGTGGCTATTTCACCAGGATATGTGTTTTATATTTTTGTCAATTTTATAATGTTAAACTTTAATAATAACAAATAATTGTTGAGAACCAATTATTGAGAACTGCTTATCAAAGTTTGCATTGTTGTCAGGCCCTGCCCCCCCAGTGGTGTCCCGCTTTACCAATGTTAAAATCTGGTCACCTTAGATTAGTGCCCTTATAAAAGAATCTCACAAGGCTTGGCGCCTGTAGCTCAGAGGTTAGGACACCAGCCACATACACCAGAGCTGGCAGGTTCGAATCCAGCCTGCCAGACAACAATAACAACTACAACCAAAAAATAGCTGTGCACTGTGGCAGGCAACTGTAGTCCCAGCTACTTGGGAGGCTAAGGCAAGGGAATCACTTAAGCCCAAGAGTTGGAGGTTGCTTTAAGCTGTGATGCCACAGCACTCTACCAAGGGCACTATAGGGAGACTCTGGCCTAAAAAAAAAAAAAGAATCTCAAGAAAGCTCCCTGGCCCCTTCTGCCACAGGAGGACATAGCAAGAAGGCACCATCTGTGAAGCAGACAGCAAGTACTTGCCAGAGGCTAACCTTGCTGGCACCCTGATTTTGGACTTCTTGGCCTCTATAACTGTGCACAAGCAATTTCTCCTGTTAATAAATTATTCAGTCTAAGGTATTTTGCTACAGCAGCCTGAATTAAGACAGGCCCCCTATCCCTCCACACATCCCCATAGACCTGGAATACCTCTGAGCTAGCTTCAGGCTAGACCCAGGCCACCCCTTTGAGAGATGTGTGGGGACCAGAGAACATTGCTTCCTCCCTGCTTAGGTCCCTATGGCCTTTCCTGACTGCACTGGTTTAGGAATTCCCTTCACAGACCTGCCTTCCTCATATGTGTTTTCCCGGGGCCTGGATGCTTGTCTTGTCACTCTTCCCTCGAACATCTGGTCAACCTAAATGCTCCTTACAGGATGATTCTGCTTTAAGGATTGTTACTTGTATCCTCCACTGTGTGGTACACACAATAATGCTACAAAAATTTGCCAGTTAATTGTGTGATACACACAATATAATGCTATAAACATTTGCCTATTAATTAGCAAATCAAAGGGATATGGGCACTCTAAACCACATGCTCTCAAAGTTTCCTCCTGAAATATTTCATTAGGATGTCTGTCTCATCTTGCCTCCTATGTGTTCTGTTGTCCAAAAAAAAGAGAATGTTTCCCAAGAGAACTAACAGGCTGCCTCACTTCAGTGAAAGGATAAGCATGAAGTGTCCACACCCTCCAGGGCAGAGGACACTCTGCCGCACGGTTTCATGACCCAGTTCCCACAGCAGGAATCCCACAGAGGTTATCAGCCAAGACCTTCCGATAAGCCCTGGTCTGAGATTGGCTCCTGGCTTCTTTGTAAGTCCAACTTTCAGGAGAGAATGTGCTGATCATTTGGGAGCAGAACCTTATTACTTGATGGCTGTATTTCTCACTATTAAGCATTCGTTGGCATTGAGATCTCTGAGCATTGTTATCATGAGGCCCCCCACCCCTACTCCAGGGAGAGGCCTGCTCCCACACAAATGGATGAAGTTGGCAAAGGCCCCAGGCTGGAGGCCAGTCCACTCTAGCAACACTGGCCTTACAGTGGTCTGCTCTCCAACCCCCCAGCAGTGATGGTCACACCGTCACTTCAGACTAACCAATCATGTTTACAACACGTAATAGTCTTCGATGTGTTCCTCCCCATAGAATACTGTGCTTTTTCATCACTGTGATGGGAAGTGTGCCCAAGCTGAAGGAAACTGGCATGCCACTTCCTCTGCAGCTCTCTGTAGGTGAGTTCTTTTATCACCAAATGCTCTAAGCAAGGCACCATGTTTCTAGAAACACTCAATTCACTGACAGTCAGTTCTTTCTTTTCTTCTTTTTTTTGATAATATAGAAGAACCTGTTTACAAATGTGACTTTATTCTGACCTGCTCATTCCAGTCTTCTGTCATCCCTCTTAGGAAAAGATGAGTGTTGGGTGTACAGTACGCATGGAGTGTCTCATGCCTCGGAGGTGAGGGAAGCAGAGCTCTATGCTACCTGGGGGACTGATCTTTTGGGGGTAACTTTTTTTTTAGAAACAGAGTTTCACTTTGTTGCCCTGAGTAGAGTGCCGTGGCATCACAGCTCATGTCAACCTCCAGCTCTTGGGCTTAGGCAATTCTCTTGCCTCAGCCTCCTGAGTAGCTGGGACTATAGGCGCCTACCACAATGCCCAGCTATTTTTTTATTGCAGTTTGGCTGGAACTGGGATCGAACCTGCCACCCTTGGTATATGCGGCTGGCGCCCTACTCACTGAGCCACAGGCGCTGCCCGGGGGCAAACTGTTTATGTTGGAATATCTAACTTATAGAAAGTTGTAGGAACATTACAAAGAACTCTGATATTCCCCTCACAGAGATTCCCCAGTTGTTCTCATTTTACTAGATTCATTCTAGCAGCTTCTCTCTATAAAAATATTTTGTCATTCAGGATCCTACTCAGGATTACATGCTGTAATTAGCTGTCACATCCCTTATGGAGGCCATTCTCATTCTAAATGAAGACTCTTAACATGTCTTTTGGCCAGAAGCACTCTAGCCACACTACCCACCCATGTGGAACTTTTATTTGCAGAACCTTCATGGCTTACACAGCAGTAATGAGTCTGGCAAGACAGTTTTCATAGCACCTGCCAAACCACCTTCAGCCCTGTTAAGAGTTATGCAGCAACATAACAGAAGAGTAAGGTAACTTCCCAGCTAGTGGTTGACTTCAAAGTTGGTTGCGGCCAGGACACAGCCCCGAGTGTCCTGACTACTTGGGAGAACAGAGAGAGCAGAGAAGCTTGACCCAGACACAGGGCCTGAAAGGCAACTGTGTCAGGGAAGAGGGTTGCACAGCTGGAACTGCCTACGGGTTTCCTCATCCTGGGTGGGTCAGCCCAGTCTCCAGAGAGCAGTCAGTACTCCAGGTCCCAGGCCAGCTCCACCAGTGCTGGGAGTGGAGTGACCCTGGAAGCTCTTGACCTACAGATAACCCTCTGTGACTGAGGAAAGCAGTTACTCCGTTTTCTCTACTATAGAGAAAGGACAATTTGAGCAATCTCATTCTACCTGCCCCTAACACCTAAAACAACAGCTGCCCAGATAACTGACTGAGTTAAAAGCTGACTGTAAGCTGTATTTTCTGTTACTATAGACACCAACCTGTTCCAAAGTCCACTGTGGCATAGAGGCCCTGCAGGGCCCCACAGTTCAGGTATTTTTCAAATATCCCATCAGTAGTGAACAGCACGACATCATCGCCCAGGTAGTAGCGGAAGCGCTTCAGCAGGAAACGCATGTAGTCGTGATCACAGGTAAAGTAGCTGCCGTATTCATTTTCAACCTGCAAATTAGAAAAGAAGAGGGGAGCTGTAGTCCCAGCCACTCAGGAAACTGAGGCACAAGGACCCCTTGAGCCCAAGAATTCAAGACCAGCTTGAGCAAGAGCCAAGACCTCGGTCTCTACAAAAAATAGAAAAATTAGCCGGGCTTGGTGGCACGTGCCTATAGTCCCAGCTCCAGGAGGCTAAGGAAAGAGGATCACTTAATCCCAGGAGTTTGAGGTTGCAGGAAGCTCTGATGACATCACTGCCCTCCAACCTGGGCAAATGAGTGAGACCCTATCTCAAAAACAAGGGAGAGAAGGAAGGGAGGGAGGGAGGAAGGGAGGAGATCTCAATGTAGCCATTCTAATGCAAGCTTTTGTTTGGAGAAAATATCTGAGCTTCCTATTATTAGAAAAGACTGCAAAACTAATTTTTCTAAAAAGCAATTCAGCACAAAAGTTACCTTCTACTAAACCCTTCCCCAGTACCCAGAAATAAGAGAAAGAAAATAAATACATCAAATTATTTTTTGGTTTGTAGTGATATTCTCCTCTATAATATCCTAATAGATATTATAAACATTACATAAATAATAACTTCCAATGGTAAAAATATTAGAAAATGGAGAAAAAAGAAAAGAAAATGTAAAAAGTCTGTTAATTCTATTGCCCACAGATACCACTGAAAGCATTTTAAGATACAGCATCCCAGATTTACAGAGACATACATATACACTAAATATACAGATAATACACAATCCTAACTCACTGCAGCCTCGAACTTCTGGGCTCAAGTGAGTCTCTCGCCTCAACCTCCCAAAGGACTACAGGCATGGACCACCATGCCTAACTAAAGTTTCTATTTTTTTTGTAGAGATGGGGGTCTTGCTATGCTACCCAGGCTGGTCTCCAACTCCTGGCTTCACGTGATTCTCCTGCCTCAGCCTCCCAAGCACTGGGATTGCACATATGAGCCACCATACCCAGATTCCTCTCTTTTAGTAAGTTCCATTTAAATGGCTATGTCTCTATCATTTAGCTGCCAATAAAGCTAAATCTATGGGTCAGCTCTAGCCACTAAGTGGGCCCAGAGCCTCTGTGGCTCATGTTCTTTTCCGCCCACTCCTAATCCCCAACCCAACCTCAGTTTCTTCCCTATAATCTCACCTTTTCAAATCTTATTTATCCATTATTTTCATTGTATTATATACCTTAACATAAACGGGCTTACAAAAATGCACGCCCATAATTTGGTTTGGTTTTGAGAGAGAGAAAAGCACACTGGTGTGGTAGCCATGGGCACAGGAGACAGAGGCCTAACTGTCCACATGCAAATCTGAGCTCTGCCACTTCCTACCCATGGGACTCCACCTGTAAAGTGTATTATGAGGAGTAACTGAGTCAATACGTGACTAGAGCTTTGCACAGTATTCAGCAGCTGGTAAGTGCTCAAAAAGCTGCAGCTCAGACTCTACTCAAGTCCTATGTTATTGCCAATAAGAAATAAAAAAAGAGGTGTGTAAGAGGTAGGGGTGGAAGTGGGGGAGACACAGAAACAGGAAAGGGCTTGAACACCCATAGAAAAAGTCACAGTGACGTTCAGAGGAATACTGAGTTTTCCAGAGTAGGAGTCAGCAAACTTTTCTAATAAAGGGCTAGAGAATAAATATTTAGGCTTTTCAGCCATAAGGGTCTCTATCTCAACTACTCCATTCCACCACTGCAGTACAAAAGCAGCCACAATCGCCATGTAAACAAACGGTGCGGCCATTCCAACTGTGCCTTTATTTACAAGAACAGGTAGGGAGTGGCCACAATTTTTAGGTCTTTGTTCTAGAGTACCTATCTCTATCCCATAATCTCCTTAAATACCAATGACTTTTGAACAGGTCTAAATAGGCTGATTACCTCCTGGTAAATACTGGACTAATTGGATGAAGTAAAGCTGTAGGCGGAAAGTCACAGCTCCTAAAGAGTTTACCCATGGGTGTTATCAGTGGGTGCTTGAAACTCATTTAAGTGCAAGCTGAGGTGAACCTCCCCATCTGCAAACTCCCAGAAGACAAGCACTTGCATATCTGGCTGAATCATCAGCATGAACAGAGGTCCAGACTGTATCTGTAAATCAACAGTGTTGAGGGCCCTGACTATCCTCAGGCAGGGATTTAAGCCTTCTGGTCTGACTCTTGTTTACCCTGGTTACAGATCAAAGCCTTTCCATGGCCTCCATACAGTCCTGGGGCACCCAGAGAGAACGCCGATATCATGAATTGAATGGTTGTTTGGTTGTTTTCTATCCCTCGACATTAATTAAGACAAAGACAGAAACCAGCTTTTATAGAAATCTTTAGGTCAGAAACACTATCTACAAGTCCCTCAGTTCTTCCTTTATCAAGCCCACCAGCCTCTATTCAATTCCAGCCTTTTGGGTTGGCGTGTGATGTGCAGACACGTGGAGAGCCAAGGAGATTAGAGGTAGCGCAGGTCAGAGACGTAACAAGGCAAGCTGCCATATGTGCTTCACAAAAGCAGGCACCAAACCAGGGTTCCCAGGGTCCAGCGGAAGCCAACGGGATGGCTTCCGGACAGAGGAAGCTCGTGTATGGGCTGCGCCTCCAGAGACAAGTAAGGCAGCCATGAAAGATGACGCTCAAAGAATTTTAATTGGTGTGAAAAAATGCTTATGACATAAGAATGAAGTGCAAAAAGCCACACAGAAAATAGGTCATGCAGAACGAACTGACTCTGTGAAAAGGAAGAAAAAAAAGTACAGAAACATATTCAAGGAAGCTCCCAAAATGTGCAGAGTTCTGCTTCTGGCTCCTGAGGCTCAGTTGACGATTACATTTTTTCTTACTTTCTGTTTTATTTTGGAAAAAAGGGGCAAAATGGGATTCAGGCAGGTGGAGTAAGAGAGGGAGAGGAAAGAGAGGAAGAGAAAGAGGAGGAGAAGAGGAGGAGGAGGAAGAGGAGTGCAGAGTCATCTGGCAGCATGCAGGTAACTTAAAGTCATCTGGGGTTGCCAAGGACGGACACAAGGAGAAATGTCTCCAAGACATTGACTTCACTGTCCTCGGCAGACTTACACTTGATTACATTTTTGGTGCCATTTCCATAGTCAGAAGGTGCAGAGAAGTTCTGAGCAGAAATTGAAAGTGACTCAAGGAGAAGCAGAGACTGAAAAGAAGCCAGCTAAAAAGAGATCAGGAGAAAGAAGGAAGACACAGGGCACAGGGCAAAGCTACGCCCAAGTTCAGATGTGGGTCTTCATACAGGAAAACACGGCTCCTATCATCATCTCAACCTGCACAGACTCAGACAAGTAAAACAAGGAGGGACCGGGAAGGGCTCCTTGTACGTCCCTCTATGAGCAGCAACCCAGGCTCTCTCAAGAAGACATCTCTTGCCACCACGAAGCCTCAGAATCAACACCTGTCACTCTCACCACCTCGGTCTCCCCACAGGCGAGGGACAAAGGAAGGGCTGTGCTCTCACCCCCCTGTGACCCACCCTACAACCTGTCCATAGTACTGTTTATAAGAAGGAAACCAGGGAGTACTGTGCTACTTCCCTGTGGTGTTCCAGTCTTGTATACATTTATTCTTTTCTTTTTTTTGAGACAGAGTTTCACTTTGTTGCCCTCAAGAGGCCCAGGGCGTCATATCTCACAGCAACCTCAAACTCTTGGGTACAAGCAATTCTCTTGCCTCTGCCTTCCTAGTAGCTGGGACGACAGGCGCCCGCTGCAAAGTCCAGCTATTTTTAGAGATGGGGTCTTGCTCTTCCCTCAGGCTGATCTCCATTTCTTGAGCTCAAGCAATCCACTTGCCTCAGCCTCCCAGAGTGCGAGGATTACAGGCATGAGCCACAGTGCCTAGCCTGAATGTATTCTTTTCAATAAGAGCATCCTGGGTAAATATCCAAGGAACAGGGTTTTTATGTTTTATTTCAGTAATTATATAAACACCAAAAACTGCTGCAGGTCAAGTCTCCTGATTTTGCACGTGAAATACATGTAACAAACATGATGTAGCCCACAGCAGACCAGTGTTGAGATCAGTAGATCCCATGGAGGAAGGAGAGTGGGGCAAAAGCAGGAGAGAAAACTTAATGGTCCCAACTCACCACATCCTTTTCCATCCCAGGTTTAACTGACCGCCCAGGCAGTGCAGAGACCAAAACATTTCCATCATGCTGCATCCCTGCAGCCAGAAGGCAATATCATAGGACAGACGGAGACAGACTCGTCTCAGCAGAAGGAGGGTGCAATCTTCATTCTGCCACCTGCCAGCTCAGTGACCCTGGTCAAGTAACTCAACCTTTCCAAATTTCTTCACTTAAATGGTGGGCTGGGTATAGAGGCTCATACCCATAATCTTAGGACTCTAGGAGGTGAGGTGGAAAGAGCCCTTGAGCTTAGTTGTTTGAGACCAGCCTGAATAAGAGTGAGACCCCATACCTACTAAAAATAGAAAAATTAACTGGGCATTGTGCTGGGTGCCTATAGTTCTAGCCATGTGGGAGGCTGAACCAGGAAGATCCCTTGAGCCCAGGAGTTTGAGGTTGCTGTGAGGTAGGCTGATGCCATGGCACTGTAGCCTGGGTAATGGAGTGAGACTCTGTCTCAAAAAAGAACAAAAATATTATTTTTTTGGAAGAACTGAATAGCATTTGTAAGCCAGCAGGCCCAGAGCCTGAAACATGGCAGGCATTCAGAAATGGTAATACCTTCCCAAAATGTACTTAGAAGCACCATCTGTGGCGTTACCTCTTAAAGAAAGAGACCTATGAGTCTCACATCTGCATCTTACATTACCTACCACTTATATAATGCAGATGGATAGAAACCACACCCCCCCCACCTTCCCACTTACTCAACTCCTGGCTTACCTGCACTGATATAATCGGCCCTCCGTTCTGATAAAGGAGAGGCTTCATTTTGGGCAGAAGAACCCCCAACCACTTGTCCACAGCTGCAAGGTAATCTGGAAAACAAGAGCGGTGTAACACAAACCTCTCAGTACAAAGAGACACCAACACAACTGACTATGCTGGGGCTGGATGCAGAGATCAGGATAATACTGGACTCAATACCTTGTGAAGGGGGCAGCTATGCACACTAGACGTCTGATAAAAGTCGTTCTGTAAAATAGTTGTCTCCTCTGCTGAGCTCCTCTGTGGACAAGGAACAGTATGCCTGGTATCTGTCTGCTATTATTTAAACATATGTCCCCTCCAAAACTCATGATTAAGCTTAATCCCCAATGTGGCCGTGTTGAGAAGTGGGGCCTTTAAAAGCTGATCAGGTCACAAAGGGTGAGAGCGGATTAATCCACATCACTGGAGTGGGACTGGTGGTTTTGTAAGAAGAGGAAGAGAGACCTGAACCAACACACTCAGCCTCCTCATCACACGATGCCCTGTGTCCTCTCAGGACTCTACAGAGTCCCTAGAGCAAGGAGTCCCACATCAGATGTGGACCCTTGACCCTGGACTTCTCAGCCTCCATAACTGTAAGACATAAGTTTCTTTTCTTTGTAATGT